CCAAGGTGGATTGCATCACACTTTTAGTAAACTTTGAAATCACTTGAGGAAGTGTTGTTTAACCAATTCACATGTCTTATTCATTCTTACTCACTAATGGTTTTAACCTACAAGTATTATTTATGTATCTGTTTTATTACTGTTAATGTTTTATACAAACTATCCATCTGATGTTGGTGGCTGCAACTTTTGGAGTAGCTCACATATTGTGCTTCCACAAGACCTGCACGATATGACCTAAAATGTATGTCACAATATGTGTTTTGTATTTTGTAGTAGACAATTTTATACAATTAAACGGGATGCCCCACTCTGAAACTTTATTCAATCTCTTTTCACTCTACAGACAATGAGAACATGTCTTAATTCCAAATATAAATGAAAATATGGTAACGGCCTTCATAATGTATGAAGTTAATGTTATGTGATTCATTTAAAAAGTAAACAGCTGTGTTTTTATAAGTTGTGAGTGAACTTTAGGCCTATTCCTACGTAATATTGTACATCTTACCATAGTCTATGATTTCAACCCACAGGTAGAATGAGTTTAAAACACTCTACGCAGCAGACTCTGTTAGACCCAAACTTTTCAAAATGCACTGCTGTAGGAAATGACACATGAAGATCGAGAGCAGTGCTGCACACGCACGGTTCTTGTCAAAACAGACGGTGAAAATGAGCTGCGAAGAGGGGCGAGCAGCAGCACAGAGTTCAGTGGCAGCCTGCACAAACTGCAGACAGTATAACTGTGTCGATGTAACGGAGTTCATCAGGTACTACAGCTACCTGATGTTTGTGCTAAAACCAAAATGTGTTTGTTTATCGTGATAAGATCGCTACTGTAAAATCCTACATCTTAAATAAATTATTGCTTATCTGGTATAGCAACACTTTCAAGATTCAAATGTCTCAACAAGGGTTTTGGTTGGATTTTCATCATTAGGTCAAGTTTAAATCATTCCAATACTTTGATATTTGACCTAAAACCTTCAAAAATACATTCCCATCAACCTTAGCTGTGCTTATAAGCAGTGGTTAGCATGCTCACACATTTAAATAGGATCAGGGACACTGTAAAAATAACCCAAATTAGCTTAAGATCAGAATTGTAACATTGTCACTGTGAATTTGAGCATTTTGACAACCATTTAGCTCAAAGCTGCTGTACTGAAGATCTTCCTGTTGTTCTGACACTCACAACTCCTGGTTGGAGCAAAGGTGGTGCAGCATCTCAACAAATACATGTAAACCCATGCATACATATTACATACATACATGTATATTGGTTATCTGCTGCTGGAGTTGGCAAATATTGGGCAATTATGTTAACTTTGTGTCCTGATGGTAGGCTGAATATGCTGAGTGTAGAGAGAGATAGACACTCTGGAGACAGCCGGCTGAAACACAACAGCGGCGAGGTATTTCTCAGGGGGGTGTGAGGGTCCTGGGAGTTGGCTGGACAAACAGTCAGAAGTTGAAGCAGACAGTAAGTCTTTCTGTACGCTTCATTCTTCTGCCACAGTGTGTTTCTGCTATTATGTCATTTACATAGATACTCCAAATCCACCAAGGATGGCACTTTCTCTCATCAAGCAAATAAAAAGGATTCCCACTGGCCTGCTCACAGCTCTACGTGCAGTACTGTAGAACAGTACTCTGTGCATTCTATCCACAATGTACTCATTCATATGGACAGCAGCATGTTCATATTTGAAAAGCTTGATATGTTATAGCCAGGGTTGGGAGAGTTACTTTGGTTACTTTACTGATTTGGCTTTTCTTACTCATATATTCTTTAAATATAAAGTGTTCCGTTTTCTGAGGAACATTCATGACCATGTATTTGGCGGATTAGTGAAGCTGGATACTAACAATGTACATAGGAAGTCAATTATCCTGCAGGGAGTCGGCTTGCTCTGTTCTTAAGAGACGACATATTTTCTTAAATGTTATTACATGGGAGTATACATAGTGTCAGGGCTGTCTTCATGTGGTCTATAGCTTTGATGTTTAATGAACTGCCAGAGGGGCAAAAACAAGTTTCCATGTCTGTGAACAATAAAGTCGTATTATTCTATTCTAAGGGAAAACACTTTCAGTAAACTGCATGACTGTGCAAATACTTAAGTATTATAGAGAAAGGTTTCAAATGGATCTGTCTCTTATTACTCTTTTCATAACTGCCGCTGTCTGTTAGAAAGGCTGTATCCTGCTTCTTGTGGTTTTCCCTTTCCTGTAGTGTGTTATATGTGTTTTAGTGCATGTTAATGGTCTGCAAAGTCTAAAATCCCTGTGTTCCCTCCAGAGGGAGTTTCTCTTTACTTCACTTTAAAATGTTACGGGGTAAATCTGCATTTTGGTATGAGGACGCACGGCGAAAGTATTAGGGTCCAGCGCCACTGTTGCCAGGTTTAGAAAAAACCCTGTAACACTTGCGCTTGTGGTGAAACAAAATTAAATCAGAGACAGTACATCTAAAGGTTTGACAAGAATTGCCATATTAAAAAAAAAAGTAAAGGACATGAATCAAAAACGTATTTCTCTTGTGTGTCTGTGTTTGTGTGTTGGCCTGTCAGCTGCTGCATGTCTGGCTGCTTGCTGTGGTTGTATTCTCTCTCTAAACACACCGCAGTGTCTTGCTAATCCTGGGCTTCTGCCTTACGTTACAGCCATCATTTTCAGACCTCCGGGCCTCCTGATTCATCGTGCTGTGGGACGCTGACAAACACTTCTCCGCCGCACACATGGTTCTCAGTATTCCGCTGTTCATGTGTGTGTGTTCCACTGCATCTGTCAGACATGGCAACACATGTGGCTGTCAGTGCTGCGCGTGTCCCCCCCAGTGCTGCGTAAGCGTATGTCAAACACTTCCACACACATGGTTCTCAGCAGTGTGTTAGTGGGATTGTGCTGCTGCTACTGTGCATGGCGGCTGTCACTGGGTGTTAGGGTTCATCTGACCTGGCTTTGAAATGTTTGACGCCAGGAGAGATATCATTCAGACTTTAAAGGCACACTCTGGACTCTGCAGGATCTGTTTACTAGTCACAGGGAGTAGAAATCATGAAAATATTAGTTGTTGAAAGTACCTAAGTACATTTACTAAAGTACCGTACGAAAAGGGGCCCTATTCTGATGATTTTCAGGTTCTTATTGTACATTTTCTGTCTCTCTTCTGTAGGGTTGGGAACCGAAACTCGGTTCCAGATGAGAACCGATAAGAAAATGCCGGGTACCGGGTACCCATACAAAATACACAATTTCGGTTCTGCTTAACGGTTCCTAAACGCGGTAGACCCTGTATTCCAGCGGGTCCGTCTGCGCCGCGGTGCTGCGGTGACCCGGTGGAATACAGGGCGGACCTGGAGAATCACAGAACGGTACATTTTTTAAAACGGCATCATATAAATTGCGCTGACAGGCGACAGAGGTCCACAGTTGCCCCGCAGCGATGCTCCCCCGCCCTCCCGTAGACATTTCACGAGCTCAGTCACTTCATAAGACCAAAGATAGGTCGCGGTAAACACTCTGAAGTGAGGCTCCACTACACTAAAAAAAGAAAAGGCAAAGTGTAATGCCTGTTAATAGCTTGCCACAGGCATAGCTCAGTTAAAATAAAGCACAGCTATTGTGCAATACATTTGTATTGCATGTATATTTTTTAGTAACAATTTCAGTTAAAGCTTTTAAGAATAAATATATTTTTGTTATCTAAACGTTTGACCTCTTTATTTTACAATTTTGGAATCGAAACGGGGAATCGATAAGAACCGGAATCGATAAGCAGAACCGGAATCGAAATCGGAATCGATACATTTCAAACGATACCCATCCCTACTCTTCTGTGACATGTCTCCATGCTTTAATGTTTAAAAAACTATTTATGTTTCTCATACTGCCTGTGCTGCAGCACCTCTTTTCACCCTCTGTCTGAAACCAGAGCCCGGTCTGCTCTGATTGGTTAGCTGGCCAGCTCTGTTGTGATTGGTCAATCGCTTAGAGATGTCCCACCTCTTAGCCAATGTGTTGGAGCCAGCCAATAAGTGTGAATGTTACATAGTGATATCGGTATGTTAGGGAAGTAAATAAAGGAGTCCAATGGAGGTGTTTCCGGCAGGGGGGGGGAGAGTGTGTAGAAACTCCCTCTGGAGGGAACACAGGGATTTAACCTTTGCAGACCATTTACATGCACAAAAACCTACAGTATATAACACACTACAGGAAAGGGAAAACCCCAAAAAGCACAATAAGACCCCTTTAGATTAATTCTGATCCTGAGCCACAGCTCAGACATACACAACAGAAAATAGAAAACACAACAACATGTACATCCATGCTGTTGTGTCCGTCAGAACCGCTACAGTTTTTAGCCGTCAACACTCTCAACCCAAACTTTTACTTATTTGTTGACAGGGCGCTGTTTTACCAAAACAGAAATATCCTGATCTGATACTGACTCAATCCAACATATAAGGTGGTGTAGAAATACAAGCAATGTGTTTGTTTTGTATTTATTACCAACAAAAATGTTGGGGATGACCTCTCGTGAATTATGAATTTTCATGTATTCCAATATTTGGATTGTATGATATGTCTTAAATGCTATCACATTAACACACATTGAAAATATAGTGAGCCTATAGCCTGCCTTACTCTTACGATCTTAAAATGTTGTCTTTTCAAAAATGTATTCTTAATCCCAAAGACTCTGTTCTCTATACTTATATATGTATATATACTTTCTGTGCAGCTGTCAACAAACCACTTAAAAGAAAGATATTATTTTAATTTGTATTGGCAGAGTACAGTTCTCTGACACACTGTGAGGTCCCCATCTTTCCCTGTTTTCCGATCCCACATTTTTTTCCAATTTTCAGTGTGGATCACCACAGATAAAGTAATGTCTCCCTGGAGAGATATCGAGTCATTTTGTCTGTTCTCTCGCTAACATTCACACACTTATCCTTAATCAGCCGCTCTCTCTCTCTCCTTTCTTATAGATGTAATCTCTCCCACACACTTCAACCCTTACTTCAGGCGGCTGACGTTTGATGTGTCCTCCATGGAAAAGAACGCCTCCAACCTGGTGAAGGCTGAGCTCAGGATCTTCCGTCTTCAAAACCACAGGGCCCGGGTGTCTGAGCAGCGCATTGAACTGTACCAGGTACACACACTTCCCCCGGGCGGGAACCCTTTATGCAAATAAGAATGAGCAGTTATTACAAAGTACAAAGTACTTATTCGGGTAGAAAAGTAGCAGCGGCAGCAGTATTTGTAAAATAAATTAAGGGTAACATGTAGAATGTAGTGTGGTAGAAGGTAGAACACAGGGGTACACTTATATATAGCGCAGAGATACGTACAGATTCTTGTTACAGTGTTAAGTAGTCAAACTAAGAAGACAGCAAGCAATAATAATAATTTTAACTAGTTACATATTGCACATAGATTTTATTGCACATCAGAGTCTTTGTTTTGTTTGTTTGTGGTATATTGTTGGTTTTTGGATGTTTTCATCATTCAAGAGTTCAATTTATTTGGGCGAGGAAAGGTTTAACATTTATTTTTACTTTAACATCATGATTAGATTGAACGACAACACTTGAACATTGTTATTTTAATGTGTGTAAGATGTGTGTGAAAGCTTCTCCAGATCTCATCCAGCCTAGGAAAATGTGAAACATTGGTTTCCTCAAAAACCTTTACTACAAGCAGTGAGGCTGTAAGCAACACAAGACATGTATTAATAACAGGGTGGATTATGGGCACTGTACAGACACAATTAAAATTAATCTGAATCCTAGCTAACAAGACCATAAACACTGACCAATCAGAGCAGACTGGGCTTTTTGAGAGTGGGGCCTTAAAGAGACAGGCACTTAAAAAAATGTATTTTTATAAACAGCCGGTTAATACATGTGCTGCTGCTGTGATAGATGAGAGCAACGCATCTGGATACTTTCCCTCTACGTAAGGCCACGCCCCTTTTTTGGGGGAAAACACTTGCTGTCACTTTTGCCTGGAAGGCTTCACAGAAACACAACTCAAATCAAATTAAACTCTCCTGGTTAAATAATCAGTAGAACAGATAAGCAGCAGTGCTAGAAAATATCTGGATGCAGCTTTCAAATAAAGGACCCTTGCAAAAGTTATATCAATTGTAACTAATGGAATTGTTCATGTTTTAATGGTATGGTATAATGGTATAATTTGATAATTGATTTACCCAACTCAGATGACGGAAGCCCTAATAACTTTTTACATAGTTCAAGGACTGTGAATCTTTCATTCATTACATATATTGAAAGCACATTTGGAAGGAATCTTTAATGATCAGTATAAAAAGGGGCAATAAATACAGAGAGCCAACCAACAACACACTCAAAGACACGTTAGTCTTGTTTTAAGACAACAGCTAATTCAGACCAACTTTTGTAAATTGATCTTTAGGGTACTTTGATAAACTTAAACACAAGACACGTACTTGTTAGGTTTGGTAAAACATCATAGTTTGGGAAAACAAGTCGTTTATTTTTTAAGTATATTTCTTATGTAACTCGAGTTATGTATGTAAGTTACGTACATGATTTAAGTTGACTTACATATGTTACTCCATAGCTGCCCCTCCCTCTAGAACTCTCTTGACAAACACCCATTACTGCATCATTCTGTCCATGTTCGAATAACACATAAAAACTCTACTTTTAGAACTGCTTTTGTTGTGTATTATATATTTTGACGTAGACCTCCCACGGACGTCTATCGCTCTTTTACTGAATCCCTGCCACAATGTTTTAACAAATATGTATTGAAAAAGTAACACAAGTAAACATGAGGATCTAAAGCTGCAATTACATGATACATGATAAAACAGCTCTTCGTTTGGCGTTGCCTTTGTGTTTCTATGGAGAGAGCAGTGCTGTCTCCCTGTACACAAACTCGCTCGGACCAGTCATTAGCCCGCATGGTTTTTCTTACCACTGCTACGCTGACGACACCCAATTAATTCTGTCCTTTCCCCGCTCAGAGACCCAGGTCGTTGCACGCATCTCTGCTTGTCTAGCTGACATCTCTCAGTGGATGTCTGCTCATCACCTCAAGCTCAACCTTGACAAGACTGAGCTGCTCTTCCTCCCGGGAAAAGATTGTCCCACTCTTGACCTAACAATCAACATCGGCACCTCAGTTGTTTCCCCGACTCAGACTGCAAGGAATCTGGGTGTGACCCTAGATAACAACCTGTCCTTCACTGCAAACATCGCTGCTACAACCCGTTGCTGCAGATACACGCTTTACAACATCAGGAAGATACGTCCCCAGCTGACTCAGATAGCGACTCAGGTTCTGGTCCAGGCTCTCGTCATCTCACGCCTAGACTACTGCAACTCCCTCCTGGCTGGTCTACCTGCATGTGCCATCCGACCTCTGCAGCTCATCCAGAATGCAGCGGCTCGTCTGGTCTTCAACCTTCCTAAATTCTCCCACACCACTCCGCTCCTCCGCTCCCTTCACTGGCTTCCGGTAACTGCTAGAATCCACTTCAAGACACTGGTACTTGCTTACCATGCTGCGAATGGATCTGGCCCTTCCTACATCCAGGACATGGTTAAACCGTACACCCCAGCGCGTGCACTACGCTCTGCATCAGCCAAACGACTCGTTGCGCCCTCGCTGCGAGGGGGACCCAAGTTCCCATCGGCAAAAACACGTGGGTTTGCTGTCCTGGCTCCAAGATGGTGGAATGAGCTCCCCATTGACATCAGGACGGCAGATAGCTTGCACATCTTCCGGCGCAAACTGAAAACTCATCTCTTTCGACTCCACTTCGAGCGTTAGAACTATTAACAAAGCACTTATATACTGATAAAGGACTGGCTTTTCTAAAGCCGGTTGAGTAGCACTTGAAATGTTTGGCTCTATGAAACCTGATGTACTTATATGATTCTGTTTTCTTCAAGGTTGTGTCTTCCTGGTCGAATGTACTTATTGTAAGTCGCTTTGGATAAAAGCGTCAGCTAAATGCAATGTAATGTAATGTTGAATACGTGGAAGCGCTACCTTCGGAGTCCAGCACCACTTGAAAGTAAAAATGATGGTTCATATTTACTTTGTTTACTGCTGCCCTTTCAACACGCAACCAATCAGATGACAGCTGTATGAAGCAGTGCAAGCTAGCAAGGGAGGAAACCATAGAAACAAAACGTAACTAGGTATTTTCACTGCAGGCTCTGCGCCAAACCTTGCGTTGAGCAAAGAGCAAATCACGCATCATGTGAATTCAGCTTTAGACATAAAATAGAGCAGAAACACAAAAGTCTTTAGAGGATCATGAGTATATTACAGTGTTACAGTCACCTAGACGAGTCAACAAGTACAATCCTCAGAAGAGTTATAAAATCTCTTTCTTCCACATCATAAAAACTCATTAATCTCACCTGTGATTCTTCTCTCTATTTACTGTGTCTACCCTTCACTCAGGCTTTCCTAACCAGTCCTAACAGGAGATCTCAGTGAGAGCAGCAGGAATTGTGTTTTACACATTAGGCAGGGATGAGCCAACAGAAACACATGGTTCTGAAGGACAGCTGAATAACACACTCTGTCCAGCATCTGGTTACGCTCTCATTGCTCGTCCCAGACCTGGCCAATCAATCAAAGAGAGAGAAAAGAGCGGACTGCTAGACCTCAACCAACGCCTCAAAACAATTGTCCTCCAAATATACTTTGTCTGCTTGTGTGTCTTCTATGCTAATGTATGGTGTATTAAGTTATGACTTTGTGTGTGTGTCTTGTGATTGTGTCTGTTTAGAATACACTGCATTACCAAATGCAAATACAGCAGCTGGTAAAGCTCAGTAAACTGCATATTTGGTAACTGATTTTGCAGTAACAGATTTTTCCTTAAAGTTACTTAAAGCACCTTTAAGAAGAGGAAGACTCAGGGTGGGGGTTCCATTTCAGGTGTGCTTCGGCCCGATCTAGCCCCCAGATGCTACCTGGAATGAGACAAAAAGTGCCAGATGAAATAGAAAGAGATAAGGGAGACCGAAAGAAGGGATGAATGTTTGAAGGGATGAAGGGTCGGGGGATGAAGGGATGTAGCGATGTGGAAAATGATGGGGTAGGAAGGGGAATAGATGAATTTAATTGAGAAGGGGAGGGTGGGTGGGTCTTACAATTGAGAGACAAACAAGGCCGGATTAGAGGTGTGGTTCAGGTTTGGCTCTACCCCCTAACCTTTTTGCTAATTCACTTCATTTCTTTAACCATGACTGCAAGCTTTCTCTAACTTAAACAAAGAAGTAAAGTCACAAAACCCTGATCAATCAGAAAAAAACTAATATTGTAGTATTAGTAAAACTAGTATCATTTTTTGAAAGGCAATAATAGATGTGTATATATCTATATATATATATATATATATATATATATATATGTACATGTATATATATCTAGACATTTCTCTGTATCTACTGAGACTACTCCAAGTTTCTTAAACTGAAGTAATTACATTTCTGTTATACAACTTTAACTGTGCTTGCCTCTGTTTTCTACACAGATTTTAGGACACAAAGACCTGACGTCCCCGACGCAGCGATATATAGACAGCAAGGTGGTACGAACACAGACGGAGGGCGAGTGGCTCTCCTTCGATGTGACGGAGGCAGTGAGTGAATGGATGAACCACAGAGGTGAGCACATGTCCCCCCCCATCACATTCCTCATGGTTTACCCCATGTGTTGTTTGGTTGCATCCTCTTGTTGTGACTTTTGTTTCTCCACAGACAGAAACAGTGGTTTCAAGATCAGCCTGCACTGTCCATGCTGCACCTTTGTGCCTTCAAATAACTACATTATTCCCAACAAGAGTGAGGAGCTGGAAGCACGCTTTGCAGGTAAGGAGAACCAGCATTTTTTTCAGGATAAGTCTGGTGTTATTCCAAATTGAATGAATGTCAACAACTCTGATGAAAACACAAGTATTGTGTTGTTTATATTGTAATTTCCTGATTACCCTATACCCTATCCATTAAAATGTATAAAACCAATGCATTTATACATAATTTGCTAAAAAGAGCACAAGGTTCTTCATAGATTTAGCATAATGTTTCTGTCAAATTGCACAGAATTTATGCATTTAACTCTTAAATGTACACATGTATCTTCCAGTAGAGCATGCTATAGGGACCCCAGAGGGTTTGAGGTGTAGGCACCAAAGTTTCACTATATCCTGCAAGAGCCACGGGGTTAAGCCAAAGTCGGACTGGCAATCAATATCACTGGTGGGCTAACTTCCTTTGAAGCTAATTTGTGCCTTAGATGCAGCTTATTGGTCTCTGTTATGTTTCCAGGTATTGATGACAGCTTCGTCCATAGTGCAGCGGTGCCTAAGCACAGATCCCGGGCTCCACACCTCCTGCTCATGCTGCTGCCTTCATACCGGCTGGAGTCACATTCCCACCAAACCAACCATCGAGCCAAGAGAGCTCTGGATGCTGCCTATTGCTCCAGGTACTAACCCGGAATAAGGGTTACTTTAAAAATATATTCCGTTAAAATGACCAGTCACCTGTAAAGTAAGTCTATAAACAAATCATTTAACACGTGAGCACATTCTACCGTTTAAAAAAAAAGGAAAATGCTCCGTTTTAATTTAATACACACAGTTAAGTGAGGTGGGTGTTGTATATGTCCAGGAGTGATGGGAGTGAGGCAACATGCTTGACCATTGGATTGGGGATGGAATCCAGACGAGAGACTGACACTGGCTCCCAGCAGCCTGCAAAACTCGGACCAAACGCGAGAAGTAAATTGGGGCCCCCGATCAGAGACCATGTCAATGGGGAGAAAATGCAGCCTGAACACATGTTGTAACATGATTTCAGCAGTTTCCTTGGCAGTAGGTAATCTGGTTAATGGAATAAGCAGGGTAGACTTTGAAAACCGATCTATGACGGTGAGTATGACTGTGTTACCGTCTGAGGGTGGTTGACCAGTGACAAAATCCAAGGAGATGTGGAACCAGGGACGATGAGGAATAGGCAAGGGATGAAGAAGGCCGGAGGGAGCTTGAACTGGCGAGACAGAGCGTCAGGTTTGATGTTCTTAGAATCTCGGTTCCCAATGTCATAACTTATTTCTGCTGTGGACAGCTTTCGAGAGATGAAGGCACACAGGTGAACTTTCTGATCCTCGGCTGACCGTTGAGAAAGAACTACCCCAATTCCAGTGTCCGAGGCACCTACCTCCACAATAAACTGGCGAGTAGGATCTGGAAATATCAGAATAGGAGCAGAGGTGAAGCGTGATTTCAATTCACCATAAGCCCCTTCAGCCACAGTGGTGAGGGCTGTGAGAGGGGCTGCCACCAAACTGTAGTTTCGGATGAACCTTCGGTAGAAGTTGGCAAAACCCAGAAAGCGTTGGAGCTCCTTGCGTGTTGAAGGGTGCGGCCAGTCAGTCACCACCTTGGTCTTGTCAGGGTCCACCTTGATGTTTCCGGTGGTGACCACAAAACCCAGGAAAGAAACTTCTGTGGTGTGGAACACACACTTCTCAGCTTTGACGAACAGGTGGTTTACCAAGAGCCTCTTGAGGACTAGGCGTACATTTCCTCCAAGTCCAAACATGCTCCTGTTTGGACTTGGAGAAAATCAAAATGTCCTCCAGGTACACAAAAACACAGATATTGAGCAGATCCAGAAGAACATCATTCACCAACCCCTGGAAGACTGCAGGTGCATTGATAAGTCCAAAAGGCATGACCAAATACTCATAATGTCCACTAGGAGTATTAAAGGCCGTCTTCCACTTGTCCCCCCCGATTCTCACGTAAGCGTTACGTAGGTCCAGCTTGCTCAAAATAGTAGCACCTTGTAACAATTCAAATGCAGAGGAAACAAGTGGAAGGGGGCACCTGTTCTTGACAGTGATGTTATTGAGTCGTCTGTAGTCGATGCATGGGCGTAGAGACTTATCCTTCTACCCATGAAGAAAAATCCTGCCCCACATTGACACAAAAAAAAAGCCTGACTATGAATGGAGGACCCTTTGTATAAACGTTATCTATTGTATCCCCTCTAAACATTTTACACATACTGCACCCTGTTTGAACTCTCCCCTGATCTCTTTGCAGAAACGTTCAGGACAACTGCTGCTTACGCTCTCTCTACATCGACTTTAAGAAGGACCTCGGCTGGAGGTGGATCCACGAGCCAAAGGGCTACGAGGCCAACTTCTGTGCCGGGGCCTGTCCATATCTGTGGAGCGCCGACACCCAGCATTCCAAGGTACTGAGGGACAGGTCGACCATTTAACTATCTATGGTGTCAGGTCGTTTTCCTTTACTTAATTTCATATTATCTTTATGAAACATCTCTAAATGTTGTGTCTTTAGGTGTTAGGCCTGTATAACACCATCAACCCTGAAGCTTCGGCATCGCCCTGCTGCGTATCCCAGGACCTGGAGCCCCTCACTATCCTCTACTACATCGGCAAGACCCCCAAAATAGAGCAGCTCTCCAACATGAAGGTCAAGTCCTGCAAGTGCAGCTGAAATAACTTACAAAGCAGCACACACACACACACACACACACACACACACACACACACACACACACACACACACACACACACACACACACACACACACACACACACACACACACACACACACACACACACACACACACACACACTCAGTGGATTTGGATATACATACAGTCCAACTGGACTATTTGCTTGGTTTGCTGGAGTATGGTGGTACAGAACAATTCAATGCGAGCACAACAAGCAGGAACAGTGTTGTCATGATACCAGAAACTTGACTTATATACCAATGCTGTACAAGTACAATTGAGCTTTACATTATTTCAAAGTAACATTTATTTTTAAAACTAACATATAAAATGATGAAGGCACTTGCAAACGACAAGCTATTACCCCTGCTACCCAAGCATCAAAAGGCTTTTTATACATATTGAACATACTTCTCCCAGAAGAGTGCCAATGCAGGTATTTGCTCGTACATGAGTCTGACATTGCATGAATTAGTTTGTTCTTATGTGGCCAAGCAAACCAAACTAAAAGTATAACTGCCCTTATATTTTATTTGTGCAGCTTAAACCATGAACTAATGCAAGAGAGGCTTTGAGGACTTTCACTGCTGTCTTGGTTGCTAACTAAATATTGGTTTCAAAAGATTTGACTGTATTTAATAAAACCTAACTGATGAATCGGACAGTATGAGCTTATCACAGACTAATAAAGATAACAGTCTTAAAGAGGCCTTATTCTGCCTTTCGGTTTTTCCCTTTCCTGTAGTGTGTTCTAAAGGTTTTTATGCATGTAAATGGTCTGCAAAGACTACAATCCCTGTGTTCCCTCCAGAGGGAGTTTCTCTCCCACACACTCCCCCTGCCTGAAACGCCTCAATTGGAGTCCTGTGTTTACTTCAGTATCATAATGACATCACTATGTAACTCACGTGCTATTGGCTAGCGCTCCAATACATTGTACGTGATAGGCTAAGGGGTGGGACATCTCTAAGCGGTTTACAAATCACAAAAGAGCCGGCCAGCTAACCGATCAGAGCAGAGTGGGCTCTGGTTTCAGACAGAGGGTGAAAAAAGGTGCTGCAGCACAGGCAGTATGAGAAAAATAAAGAGCTTTTTCAACATTAAAGCATGGAGACATGTCACAGTAGAGACACTACAATTGTCCTCTTATAACGTTCCCTGCTAATACAATTTCAGCTGGCAGAACACATTTGATAACAACACACACACACACACACTCTATGTCAGTATCCCTTTTTGCATTTTGAAGGCCCTGTCACTATGCATCACCTCACACGATTGTCACACCGAGAGTAAGGCAAACACTGGAAATATAAGTGATCTATATGTGAAATAAGTCCTGAAATGTACCCAGCCCCACCACTAACACCCCCCACCCCATCAGCCCTCCACAGTATTCACAGTCACACCATACCGTGTCCTCATTTCTGTGTTTGTCTATCCTTTTGGTATCCTTTGGAGTTTTATAAATCTTGTCATTTTGTTTTCTATTTAAAATAAATCTGTTTATAATTTAGCACCCTGAAGAGTTTGACCCAGTCGATAATTGGAATCAACCTCACACTGATGATGTACATATATGTATGTATAATATCTACTTCATTTTGTGATTTAAAGATGTTGGGAAAGGATTATGTTGAATAATGCATGAGCCACCATTAGAGAATTACATGGAAGCTCTTTGAAGGATAATTCCGGTTTATTATAACAATGGTCTAATTTTTGCAGTTAGACATAATTTCCATTCAAACATTAGAAATCAGTGAAATCTGATTTCTTTCTTGGCCGCAGAGTTAGTGAAGGAGTCGAATATATTTGTCACAATGGGATTTACTGTCTGACCCTAACCCTCATTTCAGATAAATATGAAGATGACATAAGGCTGTGTGTCCACAGAGTGTGTTTACTGACAGAAAGGTGCTAGGGAACGCTTCAGAGCAGCATCTTATCTTCCTATTGCAACAATTTATTAATCACCCCCTTGTATGACAGACTAGTATCGCCCCATTGTCTTTCATCATATTTTTGTGCTACTATCTATTTGTTTGACATTGTTAAGTCACCATAGTCACCAACCAAAGGAAGTCATTCCAAAAGCGTTAAAGGGGGAATGATGATATCTGTTGTAAACACACTTGTACGGTGAATTCAAGACTGAAAACTCAGAAAGAGATGCTCTGTGCTCACACGCCTTAAGGGACCAACCAAGATTGAATCCTTCACAGTAAAATGATCTCTCTGGAGTTTTTGTAACAAATAAATAACCGGTTGTTTAGCTTTGAAGACAGTTAAAGGACGTCAAGGGTACGGCTGTTTTTTTACACAGTATACAGACCCACTTAGAACTGGGCCCACGACAGTGTTCAGTGTGTATTTTCACAGTGCATTGAGAGAGTATTATTGATATTTTAGCAGTGCTCACTTTCATTTTGACCCCTAAATGAAGTGTTTTAAATAATTTGGAAATAGATTGGCTGTTTCATCATGTTTAAAGTAGTAACCGTGTTCCCAGATATCTACAACTAGAATATAAAAATATATACAGCGCAGAAGTATGCAAGTAGCCTGACTTTTAGCAGGGAATTTAATCCTGACATTTCATCATTTGGTGTCCGGATTTTTCATTCATTGTGTGCAAGATAGGGTCGGGTCATTTGAGTTCTGATATTGAACAAACCATAACAGATGGAATACGTACATTTGCCCCACAATCAATATATGTTGGAATTCTGAATAAGTTGAGACAATCAAATCAAACTGTAAACCATCAAAGGAAACGCCAGAAAACCATGCAAACTGCACACAGAAAGCCCACCAACTATAAACATTAGACCCACTGCAAACCGGAATCATCCTTTTGATTTTATGTGCACACAGAATCTTGCTGTTGTATCAAGAACAACGTTCAAAGAACAGAGGTGTCCTTCATGTCCCATTTGGTTTGTTTGCCAGAGATTGATATCGAACAATTCGAGACTTTCCCCACATTGAGAACATTTAAAGAAGTGAGGACATTTCCTAAACTTTAGCGGTACAGCGGTGCCCTCTCATGCGCTCAGCACAGCCACAAATGAAGGTCTAGGTTCAGAGACAGAAGTAGCTGATAAAAGTTTTTAAAAGGTATTAATGAAGAGTAGGTATGACATTGAAAAACATATGTATCCAGCCGTTGACAGGCACTGACTGGTTTGTACACTGAAAAAACTGAAACATTGTCTTTAATTAAATGTATTGAGTCAACACATTTCACACAACTGAATTAGGTTAGTTTAAAAGCAATACTATGAAGTTTAAATAGCAAAAATACGAGGTTCAACTTAATATTATTGCTTTCAACTAACCTAATAGAGTTATGTGAAGTCTATTGACATAATAGATTTAATTAAAGTCAATGCTTCAATTTCTTCAGTGTAGAGTCATTGTGTGTGGTCATACTGTTAATATAACAATTGTATTTCACCCATACATTTTCTGTCTGTCCATCATTATCTTTTTTATTTCTTTAACAACAAAAAAATTGCACTGATGCTGTTTAATTTTCAAAGTATTTAGTGTCCTTAGTTAGTGTGAACCCCCCCTTTAATGACGGGAGGAGAGTTGACCCCCAGCACCCCCCCGTGGACTCGCTGTGCAGCAGAAGACAAGAGAGCTAGGCACCTTAGTTTATCACAACAGAGCTGTTATTTTTATGTGTATTTGTTGTTGTTTTGATGATGATGATGATGATGTTATTGTGACCCACAAAGCTGTATTGTAACACATTGTTGTTGTGGTGCTCAAGTGGTAAATAAATTATTTAAGTGTCAAGGGAATTGTGTGTTCTGTGTGTACTTTCTGAAGCGGATGTGTGTGTAGTAAACATCTGGGTCTGCTTGCACCAGAACATGATGACCCAACTGTCCAAAGAACAGATTCAGAGTCAATAACAGAATGATTTCTAAGGATATGTCATATTCTTTACAATATAAAGAGGTTGTATTGGATGACCGGTTTTCTTGCAATTAAACCCTTTTAAAATTCGGAGCTGTTAAAACTTAAAGATTTAACTGAATTTCAGATTTCTTTAGTTGAGCAAAAAAAGATTTTTCCAGAATATATACAACAATGTTTTGCTTTTAAAGCAGTGGTTCTCAACTGGTCAGGCCTCGGGACCCACTTTTTCCTATGTCAATAAATCGCGACCCGAAATTTTGAACCACTCAAATCTATTCAACAAAAAATTGTGCTGTAATATATACGCTTTTCAGCATACAATATTAATTAAAGTGAAGTACAGTGCATATATCCCTTCACAGAACTAAAGTATGCTTTTAAAAAAGGTTTAATGAGATGATGGAATCAAAGCTGAACTGTATTATAAAAAGGCACACACGCTGAGTTATTCTCCGTGGGGACTTCCGGCAACAATCTTGATGCTGATTGGCCAGAAGACTCGAAAAAACATCAGCAAAGATGTTTTATTGAGAAGATGATCACTACGTGACAGACATTTTCAAAACCGTTTATGGTCTCCGGTACTTCCAGTCTAATGCACAGCGTTAGAAAATCGGGCCTTCAAAATAAAAGTTTGACTTTTTTGCACAAAAAAAAGAATTTCAATTTATTTTTTCTTTACTCACACATGTAGTCAGGGTGAAAATGTGGAATTCTTTACCAAACAATTCAAAAGGCTGTATGAACATCCTGAGGTTCAAGAAAATGTATTGAAAAAAATTAAAGAGACGGTAAGAAGATTACTCTAAGGTACTCGAAAGGAGGGTCAGGCCGATTGTCGAACCTCAGATTGAGGAGGAACAATGCGGATTCCGTCCTGGTCGTGGAACGACGGATCAGCTTTTTACTCTCGCAAGGATCCTGGAGGGGGCCTGGGAATACGCTTATCCGGTCTACATGTGTTTTGTAGACTTGGAGAAGGCGTATGACCGAGTTCCCAGGGAGTTACTGTGGGAGGTGCTGCGGGAGTATGGGGTGAGGGGGTCTCTACTCAGGGCCATCCAATCTCTGTACTCCCAAAGCGAGAGCTGTGTCCGGGTCCTCGGCAGTAAGTCGGACCCATTTCCGGTGAGGGTTGGCCTCCGCCAGGGCTGCGCTTTGTCACCAATCCTGTTTGTAATATACATGGATCGGATTTCGAGGCGTAGTCATGGGGGAGGGGGTCTGCAGTTCGGTGGACTAAGGATTGCACCACTGCTTTTTGCAGATGATGTGGTTCTAATGGCTTCATCGGTCTGCGACCTTCAGCACTCACTGGATCGGTTCGCAACCGAGTGTGAAGCGGCTGGGATGAGGATCAGCACCTCCAAATCTGAGGCCATGGTTCTCAGCAGGAAACCGATGGACTGTCCACTTCAAGTAGGGAATGAGTCCTTACCCCAAGTGAAGGAGTTCAAGTATCTCGGGGTCTTGTTCTCGAGTGAGGGAACAATGGAGCGTGAGATGGGCCGGAGAATCGGAGCAGCGGGAGCGGTACTGCAGTCGCTTTACCGCACCGTTGTGACGAAAAGGGAGCTGAGCCAGAAGGCAAAGCTCTCTGTCTACCGGGCCATTTTCGTTCCTACCCTCACCTATGGTCATGAAGGATGGGTCATGACCGAAAGAACGAGATCGCGGATACAAGCGGCCGAGATGGGTTTTCTCCGCAGGGTGGCTGGTGTCTCCCTTAGGGATAAGGTGAGAAGTTCGGTCATCAGGGAGGGACTCGGAGTTGAGCCGCTCCTCCTTCGCGTCGAAAGGAGCCAGTTGAGGTGGTTCGGGCACCTAGTTAGGATGCCACCTGGGCGCCTCCCTAGGGAGGTGTTCCAGGCACGTCCAGCTGGGAAGAGACCAAGGGGTAGACCTAGGACCAGGTGGAGGGATTATATCTCTTCGCTGGCCTGGGAGTGCCTTGGGATCCCCCAGTCAGAGCTGGTTGATGTCGCCAGGGAAAGGAAAGTTTGGGGCTCTCTGCTGGAACTGCTACCCCCGCGACCCGACCACGGATAAGCGGGAGAAGATGGATGGATGGATGGATGGTAAGAAGATGTCCGGTAACCAGTTTTGCTGATGGAAGATTGTTGTGTTGAATATTTTCTTTCTTTTTTTCAGGTTACTTGTTTTAGTTTTTTTTCAATTTACTGAAATTAAATGTTAATATAGGCAGCTGTGATTGACTGACCATCTATTTTTAAATAAGAGGTAACATTAGACTTTTTTCTCCCTGTTCCTTTCCATCATGGGCTCTATAAACTGATCAAAGTGCACTGAAGAAACTGAAACATTTACTTTAATTAAATGTATTATGTCAACAAGTTGAAAGGAGCAATATTACATTTAAATAAAAAATAGTAGGTTCAACTTAATATTATTGGTTTCAACCAACCTAATACAGTTATATGAAATGAGTTGACTTACATTTAATTAAAGTCTTCTGTGTACAGTTTGTTTACCATGAGTGTCACACAATAAAAAATACATTGTAAACTCCATTCTCCAGTCTATCCTGAAATTATACGATTATTAGTTTTAGGGGACACAACAAGGTCAATCCTGATGGGATGGATTTATCATGATGCTGACAGGACAAACGAGTGATTGGTGGGGTGAAGAGCAATGGGAGTGAGATCAGCACAAAGAGTGTGGGAGGTTTTTGTCAGCTGTGGAATGAGGCTCCATTAGGAAGAGGTCTGCACCTGTGATAAATAAAGAGCGTGTGGTCCCGGCTCTCTGTGATTCCTGTCCAGGGAGAAGACCCGAGGAGAGCCTGGCACCGGCTCCCAGGCCTAATCTGGACCTCCACGAATCATATATATCAACTTGAAACTATTGCAGTGTGTCATCATCACACACACCCCTGCTGATGTGGGTTAGAGAACAGTTTGATGATTAATCAGCCTTTTACCAGTCAATATGTTTTAACTCTGATACTGTAAAAAATGATTTGGGTTTTAAGAGTGCTGAAGGAATTTGTACATAAAATCCAGAAATCAGAGTTGATCAGGCTTAGACAGAAGTGTCTTACTTGAAATGGGATTACGTAATCAGGATACACAAAAAAGGTAACAGTATTCCCTATAGTCACATTAAAAAAAGGAGAGGTTGAAAAGTACTCATATGAACACATTATTTATGTAAAACGTAGCTAGTAGCAACACGTGTCAAATAAAGGTAGTGGAGTAAGAATTACAATATTTCCCTTGGAATTGCAGTGAAGTAGAATGATAAAATAGCAGATAATGGAAATACCCAAGTACATGTACCTCAAAATTCTACTTATGGGATACTAGCATGATTACAATATTTGAATACTTTTTAAAAACACAGAATGATACATTAAAAGGCACATGCTTACACATTAAACTTGTTTTTTAATGCAGTAGTTGGACACCTGATTTAACAAAAAATGCTGTGTACGCTTTTAATTCATGTACTAAAAAAAAAGTTCTGTTAACTATACTACACTAAACAAAATGTCTGGAGGAGAATACAGTACTAACATTTAATCTGGAATCATTAGGGCTGTATATTTCCTGTACTTGGCTTACGTTTTCTTCTTTGACACTATAGGTAAACACCTGATTTGTAAACATATTGTGGAAGTTCTTCACACTGGTTTAAACTTAAAAAAACAAACACATATTTCGTTTTTTATGAAGGAATAATTGTTTCCTTTCTTGAGAGCTGTGAACAATGGATCATCAGTAATAAAATGGTGAAACAGGAGCTTCACAGTAGCGCTGCTCACTGCTCAGCGACACGAGGGGACTGGACTGTGCGGTTTCCCTCCTCTGGATCCTCCTTCAGGAAACAATAAAGCGTTTTACATTAAATGCTTTGAGGAAGACTTTGATCTGAAGCACAAACAACTCCATAATAAAACACAGTGACAGGACTTAGGCAACTCCCGCAAACATTCACACCATGCAATAAAAAAGAACAAATATTTTAAAGAGGTAAATTCAAAGTAAGGCCATAACAAGTATAGTAATTGAGACTTTTGTACTTAAATTACTTAGGATCAGTCTTTGGGAGTAACAGAAGATAATGTAACATTATCACATTATTAGGATATGATAATGATGAATCTGAAACCGTACAGAAAAAGAGACTTCATCAAATTACATAAAGCAAAATGGGAATAACTAGCAGGATAACAATCTTAACATTAATTTTTAAATAAAGAACAATAAACTACCATTATATGGCAGCATGCCCTAATGTGAGGGTTTTCACTAGTTAAACATATCACATTGAATAGAAGAAAAGGTCACAAACATCACAATACAGTGGAATTCTCGGCCGGTTAGCTCAGATGGTTAGAGCATGGTGCTAATAACGCCAAGGTCATGGGTTCAATCCCCATACTGGCCAGTGAATCTAACTTATTAACCTGTTAAGCCCCAAGCCTGTTTTTCAGGTTTCAGGCTCGAAAATGACATTCCCAGAACAAATGACCATATCTTCCCTTCTAAAAGGGTTAAATTAATAATCTTTTTTCTCAAAGTAATGATAAACCTGTGAGTTGGATGTAGAAAAGTCAGAATCTATATACTGTAGATGTTTTTTATTTTAAAGAAAATTCAGATTGAACATGATAAAAAACTGTAAATTATAGTGTCCGTCCAAAAAACATTTTGTTAGTGAAAACTAACCTTGGATGATGGGTTAGTAGACTAAAAGCTTTAGTAATCCAAAGTACAACATATAATAAGTACCCTGTATTAAGATTGATGCAAAACAAGTGATATTTGACCTTTTTAGACAGATTTAGCAAAAAAAACCTCTTCTGGGGCCATTTGGGTGGATTTTCCATATCTCTGGCCCCCCTTGTTCGATG